AGCAGCGAATGTGAAAACAAGTTCGACTTCCTTTTTTGTCGCGATTAGGGAGGGGTGGAACGATGAAAACCTTACATGTAAGGGTTTTGTAGTGGTGTCGAACGAGGCCCCAGCCGCTGTGAAAACATCGCGGGAAAGCGTTTTGCAGGGTGCAACAATGACGTCCCGACTCCCAAGTGATTTTTGGGCCTGGGGCACTTTTTTTCCCCCATTTGGTGGGGGGGGGGGGGGGGGGGGGGAGGGGAGGGGGAATGGATACAAAGGTTTTGTGGGGGAGGGGGGCGGTTTTATAACTTTTCTCAAACAACTGACACAGTCTGACAGTGTGTCTGAAACTCTGAGTCGCATTTTGAGTGTCAAATGTGCAGAAAAAAAAAACACGTAGTGAAAAAAAAAAAAAGAAAAAAAAAAAGAAAAAAGAGTAGTGGCAATTTTATCACCTCCCGAGTTTGAAATGGGCAAAAATGGAAAAATAGCTGTATTGTTTTTAACTTTTTAATTATTAATTAATGAGTTAATCAATTAATGTAACAGGTTCTTAAAGTCAGGCCGTCTGCACACTGCGGCCGGCCCCTGTAGTTAGGTAGTTAGGACATCCGGGCTTATTATAAAGTGCAAAGCTTTAAAATAAGCCCCTTTGATTGATTGCCTTTTCAAACTTGGCGGACGACTGACCAGCCGGTAGGTGTTTTTTTCGCCCATTTCGAAACTCAATTGTGACGTGAACCTACTTTCCCGAAAAGAAAGCCAAAAGAAAACAAAAACAAAAACAAAAACAAAAACAAAAACAAAAACAAAAACAAAAACAAAAACGAAAACGAAAACAGAAACAAAGACACAAGGGACATCCATTGCGCACCCACAGCAAATCATTGGAGTATTCGCAAGAGAGAGAGAGAGAGAGAGAGAGAGAGAGAGATAGATAGAGAGAGAGAGAGAGAGAGAGAGAGAGAGAGAGAGAGAGAGAGAGAGAGGAACAAAGGTGAAACAGGTGGAGAAGGAGGTGAGTCAGCGAAGACTTTGACACCAATATCTAATGTTCGTACTGCATGAAAAGAAATGTGTGTGCTCTCTCTCTTCATTCAACAAGATCATTCAACGTGTGTCACTGCATGAAATGTGTGTGTTCTCGCTATATATAGAGTACCACACAATTCGAAAAGAAGATTCAAAGAATATTCAAAGTTGCAACCATTTGGTTCTTCGTATTTTTCGCTTGCATTCTTCTTCCGTAGATCTTCAGGAGAAGGAAAGAAGACTACTCAACAATCAGTCTTTTTCATTTTCTTGTGTTTTTTTTTTTTTTTTTTTTTTTGGGATTTCTTTCCTAGCAAGGACAGGTACTAGGGCCCATATCCATATCTACGAGGGGACAATGAGCACCCACAACAAACTCCCACTTGTGAATAGAGATTTGATGGAGTTTGACACTGTCATTGAAATGTCTGTGAAACCAGAAAAGTCAGCCAATTGGTAAATGGTAGCTGTGCTGCTGTGGCTTTTTGAGAGGAGGGTTGG